TAAGTACCCCATTATTATTATTCAAATCTTTCAGGCTCTTAATTGTTCCCAAGTCGTCATACCGGCAGACAGCACTAGTGGGGACGTAGAAGAATGGTCTTATGGAGTGCTCGTTGTTGCAAAGTAGGCTATACGAGCAAGAAGGCTCATCATAAGAAGCCCCTGAACGCTTACCATCTACTCATGACGTCATGAACCTGACAATCAGGGAGAAAGAAGTAGAAATAATGTTGCTCGGTCTCCAATAACCCTGAAGAGGCTTCGGGAAGAACGGCTAATCCAATCTAGGCGAACTATCGGATCCAGAGTGTAGAAGCTCCCTGACCACCAGATAATTATGTACTACCAGAAGCTGGGAGAAAGATTATTACTATCGATTCTCGTCAGTGAGAGCTTGCTAACTGCCTGTGCCCAGAAGACATCATCCCAAAATCAATAAGCCTACCCACAGTGATCCACTCCCCTGGTAGAAAGCATCACCCACCACTCGTTCGCCCTTCTAACCCGTCATACAATTATACGACACGATAGTAATGTAACATGAATTGGAGATAGGGACTTCTCTGACCCCAAAAAGCTTTGATCCTGACAGTTTGTCTGAAGATGGGAGCCGAAGGTCCAAGAAAAAGTTTTAGACGATTTCCTAGCCAACCAGCTCCAAATCCCAATAGGTTTTTTGGCGAATTTAGGTGGTAACTAAGTTTCTGCTTGAAAACTTTTGTGATATTCCAAACGAATTCGGGTTCATAAGACGCCGAAACGGTATGCGCTATCCGGGAACCAAATCTTTGAGCTAATTGCGCCTAGGTCAACCGAATTCCCATAAATCTGAAATTTCAGGCTAGTACCCACGTGTCTGGGACAAAAAGCTATGACAAACCACAGTTTATGTATAGGCAAAATATTTGTTCAAATACCACTACAATTCTTGATGGAAGTGTAGTCGGCGCTCAACAACTTCGTCAATGTCGAGCAGACTCTATTGTGATACGATTTCTATTCTACAATTTCTATTGTCCCTGTTCCCAAGTTATGATGTACAAGTTCCCCGATTCCCACGGGTAAACAATAACTGGAAATGTTTTCGTATTTGTAGCTTGATTAGTTCCATTATGTTTATCCTACCGGCTTCCTTTACCAAAATGAAAACTCAAAAATTCCTTCGAAAGTTACGGGATAGACTCGCGACTCTGGGCTGCCTGGTGTTGAACGGATGCTGCCCAGCCCCACAAATCCTCCCTGTTTGAGACTGCATAGCTGCTAAGAGATTTATTTGCAGGGATAAGAGAAACAAGTCTTAGTCAGCTTTTTCAATTTATCGTGGGGCTGCTTCTGAAAGGATTCATTGACTGTCACTTCATGTTTTCCTACTTAAAGATGTCATCTAAAAAACTTCCAGCTATGCTATATCGCCATTGCCAACGCAGTCTTGATCCCGCTGGGACCAACATTTTCAGTTCAAGCTTTTATGAACTCCCCTCAGGGCTCATAATGACATGAAATCGATAGTTTTTGAGAGCTTGTGGGANGGGCTTTTTGCCGACCATATGGATGACCCAACAGTCACGCACTTGGCACTTTCACGAACCCAATTGCGTGCAAAAAAGCTGGAAATAATGCGTGCGGCCGCGACAGTGACACATTTCTTTCCGGAACTTTCGCGCAGGCTTTTTTTACTGGGAAGACGTGGTAGCACGGAGCAATTCAATTTCATCGGCGAGAGTTGCGCATAGCGCTTTAAAACGGACCCGATTTTTTACGAACGCACTTAAGCTCTGTCAAAAGTCCGCCTGCTCAACTAAAACTTTTTCAGGTTGAGGGTGCTAGAGTAGGTACGCTGCACATACCGTAAAATTCAATGATAACCGCATGACCGCTTCACGTAGGCGCACTTCCACTTCAGGACTTTTGTAGTTCGTTACGTTTGTTGCTAGTACATTAAGACCGGTATACATCCAACTCGTTCCCTTGGAAGATTTTGTGGAGCTGTCACTATAATTCTGTCAATCTGCTAGAAAATAATCGGATTCCATGGTCTTCTTACACATGAGACTGCTACCATAGCGACCAAGAATCCTTTGACAACTATGATTCCTTTGACTATGTTTTGTATTCTCTCCAAAGTCTTGAAAAAACCTTTTGATCTATCGCGCTGCTACAAATTCAACGACAGTAACCAAAGGAGCTCCTATCACCACCTTTCGTTGGTTGAAATCTTGATCCTAACGGACTGACTCAATTCCGCTCGAATTTTGCAAGCTTAACCATCTCCTAAGGGATCGCTGCTAGGTCGGAACTGCCATCATTCCCTAATGTCGGTCAGGTACGTATTCGAAGGTTCAGGCTCTCGAATGTACCTAGTCAAGTCAGAATCCTCGAAAGCTATAGAAACATCAAGTGAGCCAGCCAATCACAATCAAACAGCAACTTCAGAAACAGAACCCATTACAATTGCAACTGTTAGACAATCCAGAAACTATGACAAAAAGTCGCTCGAAAGCTCTTCCCAAGGTGAAACTGTTACAAAAATGAATATAGCATCCAGTGGAGCCCTCCTCTGGAAGAGCCCGAATAGCTGTTCAGTACGCTGAAATCTTTCCAGATGAGAAGCCTACTTAGTGTCGTTTCTCAAAAACAAAACTAGCAAAGGTTCGGCTTCCTTAATGACAAACTCCTGCTGCGGCTGAGAACCATGGACTCAATTCTTTTTTCTCTACCAGTGTCGTGTGAGCTTTGGAAGTAGTTTAGTGGTCAATAGCGCCATATTGTGCACATGCAGCAATAAGTTCACGTTCAATTACTAGTTAATGGATTTTTACATCTATTACGAATGAACAACAAAGTCTTGCTCTCTTCGACATGAGGTAAGTGACGCCGGGTGTTTATGTGATCTTACAGCTTCGTGTCTGCGTGGGCCAGTAAAACTGAAGGCTGAAAGGCGGTTTAATCTCTGCTTTGGGAATAAGCATTTCCTGCAGGAGGCTGAGTCAAACAATCGTATCAGACGAACCCTCTTGAGCCCAGAAAACAGGATATTCGAATCGGGTAAATGTTAACAGATTAATCTATTGAATCGAGTGGCTTGTACATAGGATTGTGTAGGTCAGACACTCTTCCAAACGCTACCAACAATAAGATCCAGAATTGGTAAGCATGTCGCGTTCCAAAAGGTAGGTGATTAACCAACGAAACTTCTGTGTGCCCATGTTACCGAAAAACCCATAAATAAATTGAACAAGTAAGCAAAATCATGGGGTTACCAGAGGGCCTTTGAAAAAAATGACGCCTAGATCTAAGGGGAACAGGCAACTTTCAGAGAATCTGGACAGATCCCCATTTTCCAAGGAAAACCCATCTCAATAACATCCCCGATATATAAGCTGCTCAAGTAAATCCGAAGATTATGACAATATGTGAAAGCTGCTTAAGTCAATCTCCATGAACGATTTTCTTGATAAATCTCCTTGGAATCTTTCGTACGTATTTGTTATTTACCATGAATATTCAAGCGGACATGACGGGAGTGAGCAGGAGCAGTCTTCCTTTGTCAGGTTATTTCCTCCTGTAAGGAAGCAACCTCGTCAACAACATATTATTCATTTAAACTTCTTTCGAAACCCTTTCACTAAGTCCAACTTTTTTTCACGAAAAAATCCTTGAAATGCACATTCACACAATCCGAAGCATCCTTTCAATTCCTATGGTGAGGTTAGGTTGAAACAATTCGAGCGATTGTCACTCCGCATTCCTCCTTTCCGTGTTCAAAACCATTCCAAATATGAAAATTGTCTCCAGTGAAATTCCTTATTCCGTATTTTACCGTAATCACTACCCACTACCTTTAAAATTTTTCTTTGAATTTTCAGCATTCCGACTGCAATTATAAATGAAGCCAATTCTTCAAGAATTCTGTTTCTCGCGGCCCACCTAGCCTGCTCTGGAATGCGAATTTTCCAGAAGTCCTTTTTCCCCGACCAGATGAGTCGATCTGAGCCAAGAATCTCCGACACTCATGGCAAGCTAGATTAGGGCTGCTATGGCTTTGATAAGCTTAGAGCCTCAATGAGACATCCCTCAAAAATCCTTCTTCAGAGCACCTTTATGCCGAAATGCTTTAGGCAAACGGCAGTTCTAGCTAAAATTAAAATGAATTATATGAATTCCATTGAGCACGCCCTGGTCGATCAGAACCATCAACGCATCTTGTCCGTGGCAGTTTGTCGTTTTCGATGATTACCTTGACGCCCTTGATTGGCCCCACACGAATCATAGGACGGCTAAACTCAGCGAAAGTATAGTAGCGTTGCCGTCCTGCTGATCACCGATTCTCCTTAGCAAGTCCTCAATCCGTAGCGTTTTTATCCGGCCTCTTCTCAAATAGTAAAGACCAGGGGATGCTTTTCGCTAGAAAAACACGAAGTGCATCAGTCCATGCTTTCGAAGCTTCCATAAATAATAGATAAATAAATAAATAAAGAAGTTGTCCGACGGAACGACGGCGTTCGGTGCTAACATTCATTTGAGGCTTTTTATACTCCACTTGCCGATTTTTTCAATTTCGTAGCTATAAAAAAAACAAAGGGTTCAAGAAAATGCAAAGTTTTGAGGGTTGAGCAAACAGCTCCGTTCTGGGATTCTTCAGAATTCCTCCATTTCCCTTTTCCCAGACACATTCTGCTTTGCAAATTGCTTTCCTGCTCGAGTTCCGCTACTATGAGATGTTTTGAAATCCCAATCACGCTTCCGGCCCTCCCATTACCTCTTTTCCTTATAGGAAATTACTATACAATCCCCTCACCTCCGTTATGATCCATGGTTAGAAACTAATTTTCCTAATCATCCCGATTTGATTTTCTGCTTTGATTCATTTTCCATTGAATCGTTGACTAAGTTTTTTGATGAATCCGTTTTGGTCAGTCGTTGCTGTGAAGTCGCGTCTCATCGTCTCCATCATGTTTCCAGTATGCGTATTGATTTTAACACCTACTTTCAGCTTGAGTATGAATCGAATGATCGCGGCTGCCATTCTGCTCACATTCGCCGTCGTGTACGCTTACCAACCAGATGATCAGTTTTCAGGTGATTTTTTTACATCAGCTAATACAGGGTGCATGATCACAGCCAGCCTCCCCTACTGTGAAGCCATTAACACCCATACCTTCGTACGCGGAAATGTAACTAGGCTCTGATAATGACGCTCGGGGCGAAGGTGGTGTAGTGGTAACTGACGCACCATTACACATGCACAGCCTGAGATCGAAATTTCGGCAAAATACTAGCCTAGGCTAATCTAGCCTTCATCCCTCCGAGGTCAGTAAACTGGTAACAGACTCGTCTGGGAGAATAAA